TTTGTTTGAATCCTTCCTAACCTAAACCCTTCACTTAGGGTAACTTTCTCATTCTTCGGTTTACATGTAATTTCCTCCATGTTAACCTATGCTGAATGCTGATCGGTTTGGTTTTTCTTTCTTGCCTTGGGGAACTCTGGATAATCTCGTGTTTGCCCTTGCAAAATGTGTTCCAATAATGAAAAATGGATTATAGGACTAAGGGCTTTAGGGTGGGTAAAACAAGCTCAGATATTGGTCATAGTCCTCATACTTGGGCTGGGTCAGCCAGCCAGCCGAGGGCAAGAGAGTTGACTGTGTCCAAGCCAATGGATTTGCTTGACAGCTTCTGAGACTAATAAGATAAGATTACATTGAAATTTGAAAGTCCATGTCCAGCTTTTGGGTCAAAGTATTCTATTCTATTTTAGTAAGACTAGTAAGACCAATAACCTTCATAACTTATGGAAAGACTAGAATGAGGAGGTTGAGTGAGGAGGTTATTTGAGGAGGTGAAATCTTACCATCAACAACAAAAAATAAAGCACATGGGGGGGTGCATTGGGGGGTCCACACCCCTTTTGATGGTGAGATGGGCCTCCTCAAATAAACTCCTCAAATAGCATCCTCATTATAGAAGCTCCCCATAACTTAATCCCAAAAGTAATCATTTTACTTTCTTTTTTTTCATCTTTTCTGGTGCACGTGCAACGGTGCAATTGTGGATCGTTCACATGGAAATCTCCGTTGATTGGGCAGGCACCCAAGAAAAAATTAAGTTTACATTTACCCACTCACCGACCATGTGCAGCACCACAGTTTTAATTTGTTTTGTTTTTTAAAGAAAAAGAATTAGAATTATTAAAGAAAGAAGAAAGAAAAAGAATTATTAAAGATAGGGTAAGGCAAACATTCCACGATGTGGGCAGTCAGAGTCAGCTCGGACCCCACTACTCACTCAAGACCTGGTTTCCTTGCTTTGGTCAAAAATCAACAAGGCAAGGGAAAAAGTAAAAATAATTCGAGACTGACACGTGCCTTTTCCATCCATTGCTGAACAATGAACATACTACTCAGGCGACCTGTAGTGGCCGGTAACTAGGCGAGCCCGCTGGCCCTTGTGTCTAATTTGGGCGGTGAATAAGCCACGAAAGCCACAAACCAGCCAACACCCATAAAGCTCTTGTTCGTTATTCATTACATTCAATATTATAAGACAGGCCTAGCAAATCCTTAAAAATCTGGTAAGTTGTCTTCGCTCCTGTGTTTCTGTCTTTGGCTTTTGTTTTTCTTGCTTACAAATTCCCACATAAATTGAATTTTTGGGTTTGAAGAGGAAGTGAGTGTAGACTAGGGATTAACTCCATTGATTTGTAAGCTAGCTCTAAGCTCTAGCTGGTGGGTATTTGTTTGTTATGTTCTTGGGGTTTGCTTTCAGTTTATTCGTAATATCAGTATAGAATGTGAGATAATCGGGTTGCTAAAACTGCTGCTTCTTTTTTTGTTTCTTTTTCAACTTTTATGCAAAGCCTCTGCCTTTTCTTTTCACACAGACAGAATCATATGTTATATGTTCGTTGTTGATTCACAATATTTTACCTTTTAAGCTGAGTATTAAGTCTAATGTTTCGTATATTTGGCTTGGATCAATTTTTTTTGCTTTTTTGCTCCTTTGCATATTCCGTTTTCCCAACTTTTGCATTGTCTTCAATTAAATGAACCGTCTTTTTTCAGGCCAAACAATGAACCGTCTTTTTTTTGTTCTTAATGTTCTGTGGAATTGTTAGTGTGAACTATATTATATTACTGGGCTTTTCATTTATTGAGCTTTTGATCTTGTTCTTTTACAAGAGACCTCTATTCTGTTAAACGCCATGGAATATTTTCTGCCTTTTTTGTAAATGTATGGTTCAATGTCCTCTGGGTGAATGCTGGATCTGTTTTAAGGTTGAGTAGTAGAAAAGTGCATAATGTTATAGTATTTTGGTGGTATTTTCGCTCTTTGGCCATCAATTTTATTGAAAAGTTGAGAATACACTCTCATGCAATTTCCCTTTTTAAACTTGTCTTGGTTATATATGTCGAGTTATGCGCAGTGGTTGGCCTGGTTTATAAGTTGGCACATCTCTGGAAAGGAACTATGGGAGATTCATTGGGTTTGCTAAAAGTTACAGTCGTGCAAGGGAAAAGACTGGTAATCCGGGATTTTAAGAGCAGCGATCCTTATGTTGTTGTCAAATTGGGAAATCAGGTGAACTTGGTGTCCTTCGTTTTTTTCTTTTTTTATAACTGTTTTTATAAAAATTTCATGGATATGCTTTTGATACCACACGCATGTGTGCACAGACACATATCTTGTTCTGCACGCACACACATAGCTATCTGGCACTTCACTCTTAGCTGAAGTGGATTGCTTCTTCAGGGGATTTTGTGTAGCTGTCCTCATAAGCTTCCTTTATAAGTCCATGTGTTTATATTCTAGGCCAGATGAGTGATAATTCCCTTTAATCCCACATTGAATCGGATTTCGTACAAAAGATGTTAAATGAAAGGAAAGTTATGCAATCTCTCTTCAACGCTTATTGAAGCTAAATCAAAAGATTCTATTGGGACACTAACGAAATAGGCACCCTATCTTTTTTAGCGTTTATTCCTTTTAACTGGAAAGGAGTTATTCTTTGTTAGAGAACCCTCCTAATACACCTTATGTACAGCTGTAGTCAACTATGACCGCATTGGAAAGTTAGAAAACCTTCACATTCTCACATTCTTAATGAGAATCTTTCATATTTAACTCACTCTTTACTTTGCCAGAATAATCTATGACTTGATAAGTGATTCCTTCAGCTAGTTTATCAAGAGACCAAATTACTCAATTGATGGTACTAAGGAGTTTATACTTCAGAGATAAGCACATTTTTGACATACATACTTGCAGGTTGGATGTCTATATATCTGCTAAGAATGTAGTTGTTCTCAATTGCACACACTTCAGAGTATGCACAATTGGAATATCCTTTGTCTGTACTTCAATTTCATGTATCAGGCATAGGTATATATTAATATCATTGAGCAGTGTTTCTTTTAGGCATCTCTAAAACTGTTTGGAGTATCACACATTGTATGTGAATGAAATTGTTTTTACTACAATGGTAGTTTGAAGTGACTCATTAGTATACTCTGTACCAGGTGGCGAAAACCAAGGTTATCAATAGTTGCCTTAATCCCGTTTGGAATGAAGAGCTAAGCTTCTTCCTTAACGAACCTATTGGAGTTCTAAATTTGGTAAGTTAGGCATTTGAAATTTGAAGGTAGCCAATTCTTCTGATGAGCTTAATACATTATGTTGTGTTGTTTGGTAGAAGTCTGCATTATGTGAAGATTAGACCAGTATTTTTCTTTAATTTGTATGAGTTTAGTTCTTTCAATTCTGATTTCGTCAAGTTGCAACCTGAAAACATGGCACTGATAAAAGGGAATCAAGGATCCCATTTACTTTTTGGAAGCAAATAAACAAATTTAGATAAGCAACTTTGGAAGTTTGATTTGTTTTTATTTTTTTTCTGGGGGTTAGACTTTAAAACGTTCTCTATTGTTCTGAAATGCACATTTCTGAGAAATTTTCTATAGATTGATTATATAGTTGGTAAAGTTAACTTTGCAAAGGGTATTGAAATTACTAATATTTTAGGCTCGTATGACATGTGACGGAAGTTCTTTTTCCTGTAGGAAGTGTTTGATAAAGATTTTCTGAAGACAGATGATAAGATGGGACATGCTCACGTCAGCCTGCAGCCAATAGTCTCTGCTGCTAGATTGAGGCAGATTTTACGAGTTTCTTCTGGCGAGACAACATTAAGGAAGGTTGTCCCAGATAGTGACAACTGCCTAGTTAGGGAAAGCTGTATTACTTGTGTAGATGGTGAGGTGGTGCAGAGTGTTTGGTTGAGGCTTTGCGACGTCGAGTCAGGGGAAATAGAATTGAAAATCAAGTTAACTGATGCACTGGATCCGGATGCAACCCTGGTAGTGCGGAATTGACTATTGGCTTTTAGTTGTAGTCCTCTAACAATGAGGAGAGAAGAGTTGAATCTCAATAGTTTGGTCATGCATTAGCAAGGAGATTGGCAATGTAGTTTACGATAGATATAGTATGAAGTTGTAATGGCCTAAGTAGGAAGTAGGAGGTTTGAATGTTTGGAAGTATGTTGAAATTGAAATCCTGTGCATGTATAAGTATAAATGTAATATTGAACTTATGGATGATGGTGTGGTAAGCATAAATTATGTTGTGTTAAGTGGCAGCCAAAAACTGCCTTGCTGCCTGCAATCCAATTCTTCTTTAATTTTGCAGAAACTCAAGGTTTTGCTTACCACCACACAAAAAAATATAGTGACCAGATACTTTCTCTCGTCAACTAAAACGAAAGAGCTAAGAGAAAGCATGTTGTAAAATCTGCAATAGAGCCAATGGCTAATGCATGCTTCATGTTGTTGTATGACTATGAATCAATTGCTGGTTCAGAGTCCTCTCCTCAAAGTTCAAACACAACACTGTTTCCTTTTTTATATATAAAAAAAGAAAAACGAATTACGGTTAAAAATGCTATATTTTACCGAAAATGAGAAACAAATACAATGGGGCGGACATGCTATCTTAACCAACTGGTCTAAGCAAAGCTATAATTACATCATGTGTGATCCAACCCAATATTTTTGAAGGCCCAACCCAATAAGTAGAATAGGTTGAATAAACTGGAGAGGCTAGAATGAGGAGGTTGAGTGAGGATGTGAAATCTCACCATCAACAACTAAAAACAAAGTACATGGGGGGGTGCATTGGGGGGTCCACACACCTTTTGATGGTGAGATGGGCCTCCTCAAATAGTCTCCTCACTATAAACCCTCATTATAGAAGCTCCCTAAATAAACACAAAGATAGCCCATTTTGTAACTTTTATTGACGCCCATCGGGCTTTTGAAGACCCAACTCAACTCAAGTAAGTAGCGAATATAGGATGTCGTATTTTTAGTCCTTCCGACAAAAAACAAAGGAAAAGGGATGTCGTATTATGATTGGATTGGCGCCTAAATCGTAGTCGACGATGAGTTTGAGGAGGTTGAAGGTGGCGGTGACGGTGGGTGGTGAAGCGACGGACCCAAGCCCTAATAATGAGAGTGAGAATAAGGCGAAAAGACAGACGGTGGTTCTGGACAATGGAAGCGAAGTTGTGTTCATGCCAAGGTTCGTTAGCTTCGATCAGGCTTGGACATGGTTCGATTACCTCAACACCCATATCCCCTGGACCAGACCCACCATTCGCGTCTTCGGCCGTTCCTGCCTCCAGGTCTCTCTCTCTCTCTCTCCCTCTCTGATGTAATTTCTGTACAAATCTGCCATTTGTTCTATCAATTATTACTATTTGGGTCTTCTGAATTGTTCACTTCCTGTTGCAAAATATGGGTAATTCTGTAAGAAATGAGTAATATTCTTTGGAGCTTGGTGTTAACTACTGTTTATGATTCAACATGCCTTAAATTGAGGATTGATTGGAACCCAACCCAACTAAACTAGTAATATTTATGGGTGGGTATTTTGCAGCCTAGAGATACATGTTATGTAGCAAGCCCAGGACTTCCTCAATTGGTTTACAGCGGCTACCAGCCTCATGCCTATTCATGGGATGATCATCCACCACTTAAGCAAATCTTGGAAGCGGTAATAAGACTGTTCTGCTTTAGTATTCATTTTCCATCATCCTTGCTCGTAACTCGTACTATGGTGCCATGGCTCATCTGTCTTCATTTATCTTCCTTGTTAGGTCCATAAAGCTCTTCCTGGCAGCAGTTTTAATAGCTTGCTCTTAAATAGGTATAAAGGTGGTAATGACTATGTTGGTTGGCATTCTGATGATGAGAAGCTTTATGGATCAACTCCTGAAATCGGGTCCTTAACCCTTGGATGCGAACGTGAGTTCTTCTTGAAGAAGAAACCCAGTAAAACATGCCAAGGTATGATTCAATCAACCGTTTCCTCATTTATTATGGTTTATCCTTTGTTGTGCGAGTATAGTGGACAGTTAACTGGATGGACACATAGTTACAATATTATAATTTGCAGCAGGTTTCCATCTGCACGACTAGAAGCCCAGGACCCATTTAGAACATCTCTCACTACAGGATTTTTTTTAATGTCAAAACATAAAACAACAATTGAACTTGCGTTGGTATAAATGTCTTTCGGTGTGAATGCCAGAAAGCAGAGATGATCAAGAACCTAAAAGTAAGCGATTAAAGAGGAACCATGCTGATCAGCACTCTTTCACACTTAAGCATGGATCACTATTGGTGATGAGAGGTTACACTCAAAGGGATTGGATGCATTCGGTGCCTAAGCGGACAAAGGTAGAGGCAACTCGTATCAACCTCACATTCAGGTATGTGTCTGATGGGTTCTAGGATTAGAAATTAAGAAGAGAATGATTGCTCATTGTGTTCTTTTGTGTATTGTCTGCAGATGGGTTCTTGAAGACCCGGGTGCGATGAGTTAACTTGACACTGGTACTTTGTCCTAGAGGAGTAATATATAGCTTTGTCGATTAGTTAAGAAGATTTTGGATGTCTGTATCCCTCTGCTATGTCACGTACTGAATTTGGGTAACAGGCTTTACAATTTAGTGTTTTTGTGTGTTTGTTTTGTTGCTTGGCTAGTATAGTAGGCTTTTTGTCCCTCCGTCTTTAAGTAGAATGAGTGCCATAAGCCTTGTTTCCTGATGTTACCAAGCATAGCCTCTTCCATAATCCGTACTGAGCAGCCAGTGCCAGATTAATACGGAAGAGCCCTAACTTTGAGTTTCAGCAATCTTGTAATGTCACCACAGGCTCGTCTTAAGCAAGTAGCATCGACTTCCCGAAGCCTTGGACTTGGACTCCCATTGTGCAGTTGGTGTGTAACTCTTGCCATGAACATATATGGCAACGGCAGCACCCAACCATTTTGTTGAGCCTTGTTAACTGATTGGTGAGGTGACTTTGGATTTGAAATGTTAGCAAATTGAACTATGAGGAGCGAACGAAACGTAAGTAATTGAGGACCAAACTTGTTTAGTTTATGATAAACAAGTCATAAGAGGCTAAGGGCAGAGCAGAGCACAACAGCCGCGTTGTTGCGGTTCCCGGCGTGAAATGATAAAGTTGGATGCTGATATCATTCAGATGTATCAAAGCAGGCAGGCAGGCGATAAATGATGATGCAATGATGGCGCCAAAATTGCCAACCTAAACCAGAAAAAAGAAAATAAATAAATAAATAAATCCTCAGCGCTGTCGACCCATGATAAGGATAACAATAACATGTCTTTCCTCATTCATTAATTAAAATAGAATAAACGCTCTCAAAAACTTCATCCGAATTTCATTCCCCTTCTTTCTTCTTCCTTTGAGCTTTCCTTTCCTTGCCCGACGACGTTAAGACGTGCAGCAAGCAGCTCTGTTTGTTTGCTATCAAATTCCACACACAAAGAACCGAGACCCATCCTTCCATCTTTCCATCCTTCTCTCTCTTTCTCTCTCTCTCTCATGATGGCTCCATCTTCTTCTGATTCTATTAAACCTCGAGGTAAACAAATTAAGTGCTTCATTTCTTGTTTAATTTCTGCTTCAATATTTTTGTTTCGATTTTTGGCGTCTTGTCTTGTTCAGATGTTTGCATAGTGGGAGTCGCACGTACGCCCATGGGGGGATTCCTTGGTTCCCTCTCATCTTTCTCAGCAACCCAACTTGGCTCTCTTGCTATTCGATGTACGTAACAACTTCTCTCTATCTATTCTTCATAATTAATTACCCTCTGCACCTCTGCTTTCTCTTCTCTGATAGATGGCTGTGAATATAATAATGTGATTGATTCGAATGAAATGTTTATCTTGTCTATAATAATTACAAAAAATATATATATAAAATGTTAGGCGCTCTTAAGAGAGCAAATTTGGATCCATCCCTTGTACAAGAGGTCTTCTTTGGGAATGTTCTAAGCGCCAATTTAGGCCAAGCTCCTGCAAGACAGGCTGCTTTGGGTGCAGGCATACCCAACTCTGTCATTTGCACTACTATCAACAAAGTCTGTTCTTCTGGCATGAAAGGTCGCTCCCCTCATCTCTCTCTCTCTCTCTACCTCTTCTTTTCAACTTCTCTGATCTTCATCACTGTCACACTGATCTTCACTGATCAGTGCTGGAAATATTCTCTCTCTTCTTTTATCAGCCACAATGCTAGCCGCACAAACCATCCAGCTGGGTCTCAACCATATCGTTGTGGCTGGTGGCATGGAAAGCATGTCCAATGCACCTAAGTATCTACCTGCTGCCAGGTTAAGCCTTTTCCCCCTTTCTTTTTATGCTTCTTTCTTTGTAATCCCGTACTTTGAACAACGATTCTTCTAGTGACAAATGACAGGTCTGTTTGTATATATCATATTCAGGGGATTTTCCCACTGACTCAACTCAAGTATGTAACAGTTCATCAAAATTGCAGGCTTTCTTGCTAAAATAGCTGCCACTTGAAGAATCTAACTTACACTTATGTTGGCCATTCAATGTGCTTTCTAAGCTTCATCTATACACATATTTGTTCTCTTTTGGCTTGTTCAGAAAAATGTCTAATTTGTAAACAGACAGGGATCTCGATTAGGACATGATACTATTGTCGACGGCATGCTTAAAGATGGTCTTTGGGATGTCTATAATGACTTTGGAATGGGAGTTTGTGCTGAAATGTGTGCTGATCAACATTCCATTTCAAGGGAAGAGCAGGTAATATTTCTCTAGAGATTGCTCTGCTCTAAAATTATGTTTAACCAACTGTTGTTTCTAGTGACCTCTAACATTGGGCTATATCAATGTTTCCTTGCAGGATTCTTATGCCATTCGAAGTTTTGAGCGTGGAACTTCTGCGCAAGATACTCGTCTCTTTGCATGGGAAATTGTTCCGGTATGATTTAGTTCTGTGCTGAACAGCAAAAACGTTTCAGCATGTTATAAAATGTCTATGTTCATTATCAATCTCCTGCTGTAGGTTGAACTTCCTGGGGGACGAGGAAAGCCTTCTTCAACTGTTGACAAGGATGATGGTTTAAAAACAGTAAGTACAATAGAGAAGACATGGGATGAACTTATATAGAATATATTTCTTTCAAAGCAGTAATAGGAAGTTTTAGTTTTCAGATCAGAATTCCAAAACTGTTGAGTTTCAAGTGATCAAAAAATATTACCTATATATGGATTTGAACAATTTTGACCAGTATCATAGAATTTGTAGACAAGAAAAGTGAGGGTTTTGGATTGGTTGCACTTCCAATCTCAAGTTGGAAGAAGTCACAGCTCTACCTCTTGTAACCACTATGTTTCTCCTCCTCCTTTACCCTAACTTTTGAACTTCAATGTCATGATTTTGGAGGTTTAGGAAAAAAAAAATCTTTTATTCTGAGTTCATTTTTGCTTCAGCATCACATGTTAAGTTTACTTTCCCTTTTATTAATTTGTATGTTCTGCTTACAACTGTCCTTGCTAGTTTGATGCGGCAAAATTAAGGAAGCTTCGACCAAGTTTTAAGAAGAATGGGGGTACTGTTACTGCTGGGAATGCTTCTCTCATAAGGTGCTCTCTCTCTCTCTCTCTCTGTAATTTCTTCTAATATTGATGCAGATTTCATATCTTTAATGCATTATGGGCTGTGTTTTTCTATTGGGCAGTGATGGTGCAGCTGCATTAGTGCTAGTGAGTGGGGAGAAGGCACTTCAACTTGGGTTACAAGTAATTGCTAAGATTAAGGGATTTTCTGATGCAGCTCAGGTAGTGAAATGACATTCTCGTTTATCTTGGTTTGCTGGACTTCAGATTGTGTTAATAGTACTAAAACAATATTTTCTGGACAGGCACCTGAGTTATTTACAACTGCTCCAGCCCTTGCAATACCAAAGGCTGTTTCAAATGCTGGTTTGGAAGCTTCTCAAATTGATTACTATGAAATAAATGAAGCATTTTCTGTAAGAATTCATGCTTTTTATATGATATAACTTGGCTCTGATTCATTAAGCATTAACTGCATAAACGTATTTTAATCTTGGCAGGTAGTCGCTCTTGCCAACCAAAAGCTGCTTGGCCTTAATCCTGTGAGTCTTCATGGAAAATTATTTAAATCGAAATTGATGTAAAGCAGATCAATTTAGTTGTTCTTTCACTTTACATTTTTGCTGTGCGTCCTTTTTCCCTAGCATCTGCAGCAGCTTCACTTTCTTTTCCAATTTGCCTTTCTTATGAATTCAGGAGAAAGTTAATGTCCATGGTGGAGCTGTATCTTTGGGACACCCGTTAGGATGCAGTGGAGCTCGTATCTTGGTCACTTTATTAGGGGTAATTCATTGCTTTTTTCTGTCTATAATTTTTGTGCTTGATGATTTGAAAATTGCCGCTAGCTGTCCATCTCTCTTCTGTGGTAAAACTATTGGGCAGATGGGGCTTTTTTTCTAAGAAATGGAAGCTGCATCTAGATTATTTGCTTCTTCCATATATTTGTTTGTTTTTTTTTTTTGGGTCAAATAGATTTGTTAATTTCTGGTGTGCCTGAATTGAAAGTAATGTTCTTACAGGTACTGAGACATAAAAAGGGGAGATATGGGGTTGGTGCCATATGTAATGGAGGAGGGGGAGCGTCTGCTCTTGTTCTTGAGCTCATGTAAGACTTTTCAATTTGTTCAGGCATATGCGTGATTTTGATCTTTGCCTCTGAGTTCTTAACTTCAATAAGTCACTAAAGAAGTTTGCATCTTGCAGGCCAATTACAAGGGTGGCGCGTTCGTTGTTGTGATAATATATTGTGTCACATCATCAGAATGTTGTAGAATTTGGCCTCTATTGTTTTGAACTTTCTTCCTCAATAAGGAGGTCTGTATCAGATGTTATTAAGAAAATATATGCTCTGTTTTATTTTTTTGGTTCGGTTTGTCTCAATTTCGGTGTTATTTGATGTCCCCTGTCCACCCCCTACCACCCAATGTTGCTGTAATACGGCTCATCTAGTATGGAGTATGCCAAATGGACAATTGTTTTGGGGTGGGGGGAACAATTCATATGCACTACCGTATTCTGCATTTGTTCAAGAAAGTTGAGTTGCTGACTTGCTGGAAATCAGATGACAATGCCTGCCTGGGATGGGAAGTAAATATGGTTTCTTATGCGATTATTCTATTCTATTCCTCTCTGAATCAATGAACATCCATCTGAATTGTAGAGTGCATGCCAACCCAAACATTAATATTATTACTTACTAGCTAATAATAAGATGAAGCAGATTCCCTTCCCACCAAAATTGAAATTTGAAACTGCATTTAAACGATCTAAATGGGATAAAACGCAAGCCCCCCTTGAATTGAAGGACTTCGTTTTAGAAAGAAAAAGGAAAAAATGGGAGAGGTAGAGAAATTGTAAATTATTACTAGCACAAACAAGTGATGTTGAGGAGAGAAACTCAAAGATAACTTTTTTGGAGATTAAAAGATGGATTGTTGATATGTTATATGTTGTCAATATTTAATAATATAATGTATCAATCTATTATCGATAATATCGGTACAAAATTCACATTGTGCACAGAGAATTTCTAATATGTTATATAAAAAATCAATCGCATGAAATTTCCATAACATTCTTAATTTTATCAAACTCTCATCTAAGAGGGGAGAGATGTAACTAACTAAACCACAATTGGTCTGCTTCTTATAGAGGTGGGAATAGGAGGAACAGAAGGCGGGCAGGCTGGCACCGTGCGGGCTGGTCAACGGTCTAAATATCCCCTGAGTTTTTGGATTTTTTGTGATACTCATGCCACAAATTATCTCTCTTCCTTTTTCCACGAGCGAGAGGAAAAAATAAAAAAATAAAATCTCCATTCGAATTTTGGGATAGAGATGGCGAGAAATGCAATAGTCAAGGCTAATTCTGTATTTTCCGAATTCTAAGCGGTTGGCATTTACCGTTAACCAGCGCATACTTCTCTTTGCTTCCCGCTAAAATAGGACAAGTAAAATCATGCACAAGGCAAAAACTTGAATGAACCTCATCTTTTGGGCCTGTTCTTGTTTGCAACGGACCCGGAGCTTCAATCACAGAAATTGAGAATTCAGAATTCTGAGACCCAGACCACCACACCACCACCATCAGATTCTAACTTTGTTTCTTCAGAAAGTTCCTTCTAATTTCTTAATTCGTGAATTGGCTGCCTGGTTTTCTCAGAGTCTTTTTCTGATGATCCTTCACCTCTGACTCGACGATAACTTCATCTTTTATTCTTTGCGGTGGTACATACGTACGTGCTTTCACGTTTTCAATATTTTCGTTAATTTGCTTCTCTCTCTCTCTCTCTCTCTCTCTCTCTCTCTCTCAACTCTTAATTTGTTTTGTTTTTCTTCTGTTTGCTTCTCATAAATTAAAAACATCCGCTTAATTCTCTACATGCTATTCTGTACATTGCAATGCATAGATAGCTGGTACATAAAAAAGATGCACATATAACATACACACCTTGTTTGTTGGCATCCACTCCCACCTTTGGTTGGTTGAATTTGGTTAAATTATTTTGATATATAAGATTGAATTGGTGATGCTAATTGATGTTGTGACACTGTCACGCATGCATGTTTGCAGAAGAGAAATCAAATGGCGAATATCCGTGTAAAGGATCAGCAAAAGGGTTCGGGTTTGGGTTCTCCGAGGGCAGAGGTGGGAGAGGTTGACACCAGGGCTCCATTCCAATCTGTCAAAGCTGCTGTTAGTTTGTTTGGTGAGGTCGTTTCTAGAGGAGGGAAAACTGCCAGTTCCCCTGCCAATGCCAATGCCAATGCCAATTCCCCTGCCAATGCCACGCCCGTCAAGAAAAAACTTTCTTTAGAGGTAACTCTGTACATTCAAACTCATTTAATCCCTTCAATTTATATATTTATTTTCCCATAGGCCATGTTAACTTATTTCCATCTATCCATCTCTAGCTACTCTTCAGACTTGAGGGAGGCTAGCTAGCTGTTTGGTAATGTGATGATGGTCATAATTTAAACAAACTCATAGTTAATTAAGAATGAATCTGCTCTTTAATTCCTTGTTTGTCAGAATAATGCACTGGACAAGGAGACACAGCTTCTGTTGGCCCAGAAAGAACTAAACAAGATCAAGCAGCAACTAGAGAGTGCGCAAACTACAAAAGCTCGAGCACTCAATGAGCTTGAAAAGGCTAAGAGAACTGTGCAGGATCTCAACACCAAGCTCAAAACTGTAAGCGACTCCAAGCAATTAGCCATCAAAGATGCAGAACAAGTCAAGATTCGGGCTAAGAAACTGGAAGAGGTCAAATCCAGAGAACCCATTGAAGGTGGAGCTTGGAAACGCGAATTGGACCACGCTAGAAAGGAGTACACAGCCACTGTGACCGAACTTGATGCTGCAAAGCAAGAGCTCACCAAAATCCGACAGGACTTTGATGCCGCCTTGGAAGCAAAACTGGCTGCATTCCAACAGGCAGCAGAAGCTCAACGTTCCGCAAACGTTAACTCAGACAGGGTTAATGAGCTCTCAAAGGAAGTTGCAGCCATGCAGGGATCAATCGAACAGCTAAAACTTGCCTCCCAACAGGCCCAACAAGAGCAGGCAAACGCTGTGGCTGAAAAACAGGCCCACCTCCGATCTTACAACAGTGCTAAGCAACAAGTAGAAGAGAAATTACTATCTTTGAAGCTAGAAGTTGATCCTGAACTGACAGAAAGTCTAGAGGCTAAGCTTGAGGAAACAACTTTAGAGATTGAAGTTTTACAAGAAGAAATGAAAAAAGCCCACGCTTGTGAAATGGACTCCATGAGAGTGGTAACTGTGGAGCTGAATGAAGCCACAAAGACGCTGCAGGAAGTTGCTGACGATGAAAGTTCTCTTCGAAGCTTAGTGAACTCCCTCAGGCTGGATTTGGAGGATGTGAAGAGGGAGCAAACTGAACTGAAGGAGAAAGAAATGGAAATGGAATGTCTTGCTGCTAAACTAACTGCTCAAATACAGAAAACCAAGGAAGAGGCAGAGGCACAGCTTAAGTCACCTCCTAGTCATCATGAGTATGATCACAGTTCAACTGCCCAGAAGCTTTCATCTGAAACTGAAAGCGCGAGGCTGGAAGCAGAAGAGATGAAGAAAAATGCTCATCAACAGAAGCGAGAAGCTGAAGATACCCGGGTTGTAGCAGAGGAAGCAGAGAAGAAACTGAAAATCGCCCTGGAAGAAGCTAAAGATGCCAAAGAAGCAGAAAATAGAGCCCTTGATGAGCTCAAGCTCTTATCCGGGGGGACACAGGAAGCAGGCACTTGTTCAAATTCAGAGACCAGTGGCGGCAAGATCAAACTATCATCGGAGGAGTACGAATCTTTGACAACGAAAGTCGAGGAATGTAGAAAATTGGCTGAGCAGAAAGAGGCAGAGAGCATGAATCAAGTAGAAGCAATCAATGTAAGAAAAAGGGAAGTAGATAAAAAGTTGGAGGCCAATTTAAAAGCGATAGAGGAAATCAAGACTGCGACAGACATGGCATTGAGCAAAGCAGATATGGCAGAGTCGGCAAAATCAGCGGTGGAGGGTGAACTTCGAAAGCGGCGTCAAGAAGAACAAACGGTGGCAGGTGAGTCATCAGGGTCATTCTCCATTCAGTTCTAACTTGTAGGAGGATGCAAGAGCAGATCATATATAATGCCAGACAAGTCAGATGGGAAAGGGATTTCTTATCTTTGAGAGAGAAAAACCACGTTCTCTTTCTGTTTTTGTTTCACAAGTGCCTAAGCTTGGAGAATTGATCTTGCAATGAAAAGATGATAAGGTATCTCCTCTCCCCATCTGCCTACCGTAGTATCCCATTTTTGGTGCATTCAGGAAAACTTATTTATTAAGAGTCTCAGTGGTTCAGAAACAGGGAAACATGTAAATCGCTTGTTATCTCATCTCAATACTCAAAAGAATACTTTCTTCTTTTATTGGCTCTACAGAAACTGACATGTTTTACCTCCATGATTTATAATTGTCGGTCAAAAAAACATATTTAGAAATCGCTGAAGGTGAAAATAGGTTAATCTGTGCAACTAGTATATGATTTAGAACTGTGCAACTAAAGATGACGTGACAATTTTCTGCTGCACTACAACGCACATTAGGCTACGCACGGCACAGGTCTGAACTGAGTATCCAGCAGCCATATGTCATATTACATACACTGTATTAGCTATATCCCTTGTGAAGTTCATGTAGATAATGCGAGCAACTACCATTACAACCAATCATATCGCATGATTGCAACGGTAGGACCAGTAATGCAAAGATTCCTTGTCCTGCATCTTTAGACTGAGCACAAAGGCATAAGATTCATCACTGCAAGTCTGCATGGCACCAAGCTCTGTGGTTTCAGTCACCATTGATTTTGAGGTCATCTAGAGAGTCAGATAGCCCATTCCCATTACCATACTTGTTAAACTCAGATTCTATCGTTTTAGCAATCTGTGTTCCTTCTGCAGCTGGCTCAGGTACATCCACATGAAAAGAACCCTGCTTCATTGGGTGAACAGGTTCCTTGATCAAAGATTGCTGCTTGATGTAGTTGTAGAGCTGTTGATGAAAGTGGTGGTCCAAGGAGAAGCAATTTTCTGCTCCATTCTGTGAATGCCGAGATGATCCTGAACCTTCTCTTTTACAAAAATGTGGAAGAGATCCATAATCCATTATCTACACAAACATCAAATCCAACTACAAGATTAGTCCATTTGAATTTTGACGCTGCCAAATGAAATTATTAAAGATGTCAAAATCAACTTATTCAAAGATGATTTTGAGAAATATGACAAGAACTCATAAACATTCAAGTTCTCAAAACTTCAAGCATTATAGGGAAAACATCTTACCTTCAACAGTTCATCCCTACCACAACCAGACAACACCTGCACCTTTTTCCTTGTCCTCTCCTGCAAAAGGGGCTTGACAACCTGCTAACAGTCCAAGAATTATACAACTGCCAGTCCAAAAGGGCATCTAAAATATATAAAGTTTTAGAAGAACATGAGCACCATACTCCCTATGGCTTAAAGATCAATAATGATCATGCAATAAACAAAGTGGGGACGAACCCAGTTATACAGGACACAACAGATTACATGATATTACAAAGAACACAATGTGAAGACTAACCTTCCAACAAGCTGAGAATATATATGGGGCATTTACAATGTAGTATGTATTTGTCTTCTCTGGGTAGTTCAAATCATCAATTGTTGATATAATTGTCAATAACTGCACGGGCATAAAACATACAAGGTAGTGAATGCTACATGGTTTACATTGTAGAACTCATTTAGATACATACAAAGTAGAATCTTCACGCTTATAATCAACCTAATTTAAGTTGGTTATAAAATTTAATTAAGGAACATTGGACAAACCTAAATAGATTTGTCATCTGTACTTATGATAGGAAAGAACAAGATAGTCTAAACTGTAATGAAAACAAATAAACAAATAAACTTCTGGTTATATTGTACCTTAATTTGGCTTAGTGCTGAGAGCTTCAAACCAGTCATATCTAAAACCTTCACGCAGGTGGTAATAGGCTTACCATACTTCCTCGATGCAGAAGGCTACAACCGAAGACACAGGTCAGAAAAATGACTTGTGAAAGCTTAGAAATTCAAGATCCCATACTCACCAAAATTATACGATCTCGATATTCATTAATTTGAATGTGTGACTGCACATAGTAGTGAACCTGCAATGGAAAATAAAAAAATATTACTCAAAGATTGTAAGGACTCAAGGACCTTGAGCATCAAGATAAAGAGGCAGAAATAGATTATTCAAATTCAATAATTGTTGTCAATTATAAGACAAGATGGTCTTTCATTTAAATCTAAAACTTACAGATGCTTTGTCAAATGTACTTAGCCCAACACCAATGGCAAAGACTGGCAAACCCTGAAGAGAAACAAAGAATGAGTTAAACATGTTACAGCACACAAATTTCCACAAAAAAAAAAATCACTGGTAGAAGAGACATTATTATCAAAGGTTCAATTCCCGTGGAGTAAAAGATTGGAGGATTGAAATCATCAACACTGTCACGATCTTGAAAAGAAAATGTAAACATCAAAAACAGATAAGTTTTAAGTTAGAATGAGCACCTCTCTTGAGTAACCCGAAAGACCTATGAGCTGTGAATCTCGTACTGACCGGTATAATTCAGTTGGAACAATCGGTTTCTGCAAGGAGGAATAAGACTCCAAAAATGTCAGCATCTGGGGACCAGCACATGTATAAATAAGATTGGTAATTTGTCAATCACTGAAAAACACCAAAATGTTAGGCAAGTAAAGGAATTGGATAAACTTACGCCCAATATATTGTCAATCTCATTTTGCACCCTCCAGTTTAAACAATCTACCAACTGGAACATCAGAAAGATATCATTTCACCAATTAAAAATATAAAAAAAGAAGTGAGCTGACAATGGATAGGATTTCATTAGGTTAAATTGTGAAGCTAAAGAGCTGCATGTTACCATTTTATGGGCTTTGGAAACATTCCACTCTCTTGCCTTGAGAAAACGGCCGAAAGTCTCAAGAAGATATCCTTGATGAACATTCTATATAAACCAGAAAGCAATTTTTATGATAAATCCAAAATTCGAAAAACATGGGTAAAATATATTATAGAAGGGAAAGCATGAGTATGATCCCGAAAGATCCAGTAGAGCTCAAAATTAAAATCAAGCATTTGTTGGGCAGGTAAATTGCCATGAAGTAGAAAGAGAAGAAATGATAAAGACAATGTCCATGATGTGGAACCAAATAGCAGCCGCCTAGTTGATGTTATTATTATCAATGAGTCCTAGTGTTGCTAAGGAAAAGAGGGGTCTACTTAAACTGGAAACTGCAGTAAACATGCTTTGAGCCTTGGCCCTTTGGGGATGGCAGCAAATGTCAATTTGGCAATCACCCAGAAAAGATTAAGCAAAACACAAGCCATTGGCAACCCACACAAAAAAAAAAGGTTTAAATAATAGAAGTCGATTAAAAAAAAGGAAGTAATAAATTAGAGAAAGAAAGTAGGTAGCATTAGCATAGCAGAAGAATTGTAAGTTTGAGTATGAGCTGAGAAAGAGATCGGAGAGACGAAAGTAGGAAGGTAATAGAAAATGCGAACCTGAAATGTTCTCTTGAGTGGCTCATCAACTGCCATTACTAAAAAATCCAGCAAATAACAGAGAAACAAAATGAGAAACAGTAAAAAAGGAAGAAAAAAAGGGAAGAAAGAGAAAGGGAAAGCTGAGAAAGCTGACCTTGATCCATCAAAGCTTGGAAATGCTTAATCGCTTCCTGAGAAACGATCCCCATTTCTCTTTAATTTCGCTGTGTCTCCGTCTCTGAATCTGTTTTTCGGTTGCTGAGCAAAAAAATTTAAATAAAAGCTAAAAATGAGAATGAGAGAAGGCAGAGGTCGTCCTGCTAATACTAATTTATATTATATTTATATTAATTAAAAGCAAGCAATTCAAAAGAAAAGCGTATTAATTTATTAGGGAAAAGACAAACACTCGTGTCAGCTCAGGACTCAGGATTCAGGAGGGAGGAGGAGGAGGAGGAGAGGAGAAAGACTTTTTTATTTTGGGTCAAAAATGTCATGAGAGACAACAAGGAGAGAGAGAGACAGAGAGACTCGAGATTCAACAAAGGCGGGCCTACGTGCCCAGCCATTTATTCCCCAACCTCTTCTCTCAGAAATTCAAATTTTTTTTTTTCATTCACTCCTTCCAGCCAGCCAGCCACCGATCAAAAATACAAAATATTGGGACCCACATTGCTAGATCTAACTGTTTCCGTCGGATACGACTTGGTTGGTTTCTTCATGGAGATGGAGGATGGGATCCCGATCGATATTTTGTTAACTTATTGTGAGAGATTGTGAGAGACTGTGGAGGAATGCACCGTCCAAAAATGGGAGGCAAAGCCAAAGGCAAAGGCAAAGGCAAAGGCAAGCCAATGCAAATGCGACGCGGCATTTAATTTGTGCCAAACAGCTGCTGAAACTGAAAGATTCCAATCTGATCTGATCTGATGCGCCAATGCCAATGGTGTTCTCCCTCGTAGGACCCTCCATACCTAACAATTCTGCCACGTTTAATGCCAATGGTGGTGGTGGTGACAGAAGAATCTTTTTTATCTACTCTTGTCTTGGGTTAGTTTTTATTTTCTAATTAAATTACTTATTATTATTATTTATATTGGTCAATTTTATGGAGAGTATAATTACTTTTAAGTGATTTTAAATGATTTTATTGAGGGGTATTTCTGTTTAGAAATTTTAAGTAATTATATAAAAAAGTAAATTTGAGGCCCTCATAAATGATTCTGGAATTGACTTGGAACATGTCGGTTGGGGAATGGTGGTGGTGACAGAAGAAATAAGAGGAGATTATTGGGCTGGGCTGGGCTGGGCTGGGCTGCAATGTACCATTTTCTTCTTCTTGTTTGTTGTTGTTGAGGAAGGAAGCTTCGTAGAAGTTACGCTCGAGATATTAGTAGCATTACGTTCGTCTTGAGATGGAACAAGAAAATCAAAGTTTGTCATTCATGTCACTGTCGCCTAAAATTCAATGTAAATGTACAAATTGTAATTTGTAATGAGAGACTTGACTTGTCAATGCCAAGTTTGAATTGATTGTAATCATAATATCCTTTCAATATTAATAATGAGGTGCTGTTTCTGTATGTATGTATACACTAGATTGCTTTGGTTGTGCTTTTTTTAATAGCGAGCCTTGTTAATATATGATATAAGCGGCCGCGTTTCCCTCTGAATTATACGAATATACCCTATACATGCGCGTTTCTTATGCAAAGTGAAGCGGTCAAACCAAAGCATCTGTCAGTATATCAAAATTCAAACATATATATATATATATATATATATGTACAGTGGTTGTGCAGCAACAGCAGCAGCACCACAAATTAATAAAGAGATTTAGTACCACAAATTATTAAAGAGATATAGTAGAGCGCAGGTAGCAAGCCAAAAAACACAAGAGCAGCAGTTGGTGAAAAGTGAAAATGGAGGAAGATGATGATCAAATTAAGAGGATTAGTAGTAAGGATGATGATGAGTATTACTACCGTAGCAGCAGCTGCAACATATCATCATGCGAGATCGAGGAGGAGGATGATGAGGAGGAGGTTGGTTCAAGTTCAAGTTCAAGTTCAAGTTCAAGTTCAAACAGCAGATCATCATCCAGAAGATCAAGCCAGGCCGATGATATCCCAAGGGAGATCAAAGAGCTTTTTGGGAACAAACGATACCTGCCCATGCCATCCATCAAGGAAGATTATATAGATCATCATCATGATCATAGAAGCAGCAACAGCGTTTATGTGGGAGTGGGTAAAAGCGAGTCAAGCATGGAGGCGCTGACCTGGACATTAAAGCACGCTGCTGACCCCTCATCCACCACCGTCTATCTCATTCATGTTTTCCCGGAGATCCACTACATTCCAAGTCCATGTAAGTATATATCAAGTACGTACGTATATGATATATCAGATTCATATGCATTTGTGTCTGTCCGTATGATCTGTGTTGTGTTGGAATTGAATATATTTATTAGTGGGAAAGCTTCCAAAGAGTCAAGTGAGTTCACAACAGGTAGAAACTTACATGGCCCAAGAAACAGGCAAGAGGAGAGAGCTCCTTCACAAGTTCCTTGACAAATGCTCCGCTGCAAATGTTAAGGTTGACACTATGCTGATTGAAAGTGATATGATCGCACGGGCTATTCTAGACCTTATCCCTATTCTCAACATAACAACGCTAGTACTTGGAACTACCAAATCCAATCTAAGGTAATTAATAATATATATATATATATATATGCATGCAGGTGCACCCATGGCCAGCCATGCACCAAATTCATTACTTCATTTATTTACTTGCTCTCTTGTGATTCGTGATTCGTCAATGAACTCGATCATCTTCTGGAATAGGAAATTGATGTCTGGGAAAGGAAGCGGGATAGCTGATCAGATACTTCAAGCTGCACCGGATGGCTGTGAGATCAAGATCATCTGCCAAGGGAACCAAGTCATGATGGACCAGGCGATTCACTCCCTTTCCCCACGTCTCAACGATGATCCCACTACGACCAAGTCTATGCAACACCAACAACACAGGAATAATAATGAAGCCTTTTCATGCATCTGCTTTAAACCCAAGTTCTCTTCTTCCTCCTCCTAAGCAAGGAGCAAGGAGCAAGGAGCAAGGAGCAAGGAGCAAGGGTTATATACTTCATTACTGCTACTATTAACAACAGCAGCGGGGATAGCTCAGTTGGGAGAGCGTCAGACTGAAGATCTGAAGGTCGCGTGTTCGATCCACGCTCACCGCATTTTTCAAGCTCTTTTTGTTTTCTTTCAAAAGAAAAATAAAAAGAATTTTGGATGCATTGTATTCCAATCCAAGTTAACTTTCTTTCTGAATTTCAAACATCCGATGCCCGCATTGTATTAAAAGAATTTTGCCTTTTAATATTAGCGGCTGCAAATCCTCTTTCCAAGTTCATTTGCACATTCCATAGAAAAAAGAAAACAACAAGAAATTGATCCTAATTTCTAAGCTATGCTGGTTTTTTCTTTTTCACAACCGTACACTAATTCGGTGACAGACCTAGAACAGTGTATAATATCTGTTGCGCAAGCATTTGCATTGCAAGAAGAAAGGGGCTCTCCATTGACCACGACCCTCAAACATCCGATGCCGTGCACAAAGTCCTAAAAATGGGATCTAATTCATGCCTTGATTTGACGGAGAATTCATGTAAAGATTATGCAATAAAAATTTTGAAACTGTCAACAGGTAACAACAACAACAACAACAACAAACATACCATTTCTCGTCATCTATCAAGAAAACAACTTAACCTCACTACTAACAGTCCCTGAATTGTCCGAAAAAGTTCTTTCCATCCAATAGAAACCATTTACGATCAATAAACTAGGGCTAAAAGAAATCAAACTCCAGATAATTATCAGAACCCTTTTGATCAGGAGCCGCTGTGGGAGTAGGAGCCTTCTCCTTCTCACTTGATGATGTTGTTGGGGCAGGTATCCGCTCAATCTCAACAGGCTTTGGGATCTCGGGTGGGGTAGCACACCGTATCAATGCCCAATTTACACCTTCAAAGAAGGGATGTTGCTTTATCTCAGTTGCCCCTCGTTTGTATGCCAATCTGTGCTGTGGTTCCTTTACAAGCAATCCCCTTATGAGATCTCTTGCTGCAAAACTGACGACTGGTGATTCTGGAAACCGGAGAGGCTGACCAACAACATTGAACAATGTTGCACGATTCCCAGAACCCTTAAAAGGAGTTTTACCAAACAACAGCTCATATAAAAAGATTCCAAAAGTCCACCAATCAACAGCACTTCCATGACCTTCGCCCTTAATGATCTCAGGTGCCAAATACTCATGGGTCCCAACAAATGACATAGACCGGGCATCAGTTGGCTCTGCAATGAGCTCAGGTAATGGTCTGACTTGGTTTCCAATTTCATTTTTAGGTTTCCTGTCCTTCTTGGACTTGCTAGAAAACAAACGTGGTGAGAAGCATGTTGTAGGAGCTACACAGGATGGCTGGATACAAGAAGGCGGCTCAATGCAAGCTGGCTGGACACAATAAACAGGGTTCTTCCGCAAGGGTTCAAACTCCATGGATGATGTTTTGACAAGAGTTGGACTAACAGCACAACGGAGGGAAAGGTCAAAGTCGGAGAGCATTATATGACCATCTTCCCTCACCAGGACATTTTCCGGCTTAAGGTCACGGTAGACAATCCCAAGCATGTGGAGGTATTCCAGAGCCAGCAGTACCTCGGCCACATAGAATCTGCAAGCTCAAACAAAAATTAACTTGTTACCATCAAGTGCTATGCACACCAGGATCATTGCTCATATTATTTGAAGAAATTTAAATCAACATCAATATCAACATTTTGAATGATTACGTCAAACATATTGTCATTGAAACCCAACACTGCAGGATCATATGATAGTTGCAGGCTGATGTTCAGAATTATACACCTAACATCTTACTTACTAGAACACTAACCATTGTCAAACTTTGAGGACTTAAACAATGTAGTAATATCCACATTGTTTTTTTATAATATGCACCTATGGTTCTGATTTCATCAGTTAATCATGGCTTCCAATATTTGGACTTTTCTGAATATGAACGTTAGGGAAAATTAATGCAAATAACAGTTCCACAAGAATGCATAAATAATAGCTTTTTAAGAAGGAAAAGCAAATGGCAAAGGGCACATCAATAGCTCAATATCAATATAGTCTTGCTTCATTTAATGCTTTCGGATGATTACCAAGAGTATTTTCTAAGTGCTAAATAACTTATAGCAGATTCAGAATACAATGTTTGGTTAACCACCTATGACTAAAAGGAAAAACCACTCCCTCACTTAGGATTGAATCGTTGCACAGACTATGTGATCTACATAAGCCTGCCGCAATCCTAATATCTAGGACATTATGTTCAATTGTCATTTTAAAAGACAAACCATACACATTCAAGCAAGAACTCTACAGCATGCCTGCTCAATCAGGCCATACAATTTTCAGAACTTATGTACCAAGCTTATTGAACTGACAAAGTAACCCATATGTTTCCCCAAGCACCATATGCTTGAGAGTCCACCTAGATAAATGAGTTTTAAAACATGAATTATTTCAAGAAGATAAAAGGAAACCTTTCTTTCTAGTTGAACATAGGGAATTTAGGATAGAATTGAAGAACCTGTGACATATATAGAAAAGCTTCCCTTTTCACAGCTCTAGTTAAACAAATTCTTCTTTCTTTCTTTTGCCCTAAGTTCTCCTCAGTTAAATTCAGTTTTTTTTTAATAATCAGAGACGATATGAAGATGAAACAGATCATTCAGGTCAAGTAAAATGAAGACAGCCAGATAATATGTGCAACTTTACTGAACATACTTTACTGCCTGCTCAGAAAAATGCTTCCCTTGCTGCCTCTGCCTGAGAGTGTGCAAGTCTCCTCCAGGACAGAATTCCATCACCAAACATGAAAACTTATCTGTTTCAAAGTGGGTGTATAATGTTGGAAGGAAGGGATGATCCAAAGATTGCAGTATCTCTCTTTCTGTCTGAGCACGAAGAAGCTTTTTACGACTTGCTAGAGACCCTTTGTCCATAACTTTCATTGCAAAATAACATTTAGTTCCACTTAGCTCTGATAGGTAGACACTCCCAATATCCCCGCAGCCTAACCTCTTTAGTAGTCTGAAATGACCCAGACCCAGAACCCCATCTCTTGTTCGGACAGCTTGGATAGCTTCCCATCTCAAGTCATTTGCTTTGTGAGGCTTGCTGATGCTACTACTAAAGCTGCTACAAGTGCTCTCATCACTCACATCACTGCTTGTGCTTCCTCTGCACATACTGCTCTTGCCACTCTCTACAAAATCAACTCGATCACTAATCTTGGCACTTCCACTAGTCTTGGCAAGACTGCTGGCTCCATCGCTCACTTTGGCCGAAACTGAACTGTCCTTCACACTTCCATACTCTGATGTCTTCTTTTCTTGATCAACAGAACTTTCCAGTGAACCTCTGGTCTCATTTACAGCAGAATCTACTTCCTTGGATGCTTTCTCAAGGTTGGGTGATAATGAAATCGAATTCAATTTATTAATCAAGGAATCAGCAGATCCTTTTTCATTGGAATTTGCTGACCGTTTATTATCAGAAGCTTCTACTGCAACCTGCTTTGTTAAGTTTTGTATAGATTTTGGTAATTGCTCAGGAGTAGCGAGCTCGGGTCTGGTTGGCTTCACTCCCTGTGGGGGAAATTGCCTGAGATCATTAGTTTCTACCGTCTGAACACCAGCTGTTTTCTGTTGCAGTCTTGAGGAAGCTCTAGCACCAGATTTTGAGGCCATCAGATTTCAGAGGAAGAATGGGTTATCAAGCAGATTGAAAAATTTCATTGCTCTCCCCCATTATGGGCAACATTGTATCTTCCATTAGCAGCCAAACATAGTGCCTTCTCAACTCTTCCAGCAGCAATTATCAATCTATATGCATTTTAAAACATTCAGATGTAATAATATTTATGTACATATATATATATATATAAGTCAATTAAAAACAAAAACAGTTCCTTAAATCAAGTAACAAAATCTTAGGAAGATGGAACCATTAGACAACCAGTTCCCTTCAAATGGCCTCACAAAGTAGATCACACAATAAGATCAAAGAGCAGCAGCTGCTACATAAAAATATATATATGCACTCTGAGAATTACCAGGAAGCTAAAACACAGATAGCTTATTAGCAAACACAGTCTAGACATCTGCTAAAGTTGAGTCAAAATGCAAAATTTCAGAGCTCAAGGTATAAAGGTCCTTTTGTTTTTCTATTTTATTTGATAAGTAGCCTATAGACCTAAACCGAATTAGTAAACCAAATATCCAAGCACAGAGCTACATGCAGAGCTTGATCAAATGATGCTCATTACATATTGGGTAAGTAAGAATATTGCTTACATATGCATTACCCACCCACCCACCAATCGAAAGAGAAGAAAAGAGAAGACGAGGAAACAGGAAAATACAATTAGGGAAATTGAAAAAGATTGAGAACAAGTATAAGGGATTGAAGGACCACAAAAGAAGGAAAAAACCAGTCAAGTAAATTGAGCCAAATAGAAAATGCAGTTTATATTTGATAAAAAAAAAGTACCAACCGTCTTAAATGGATGAAATTAGCATAAGTAACTAAATGAACTTGATCAAGAGACAATTACATAGAACCCAGATCTATAATCACAAAAACCGTAGCTTTCAGTCAAAATCCAAGACAGATCCAAAAGCACAGAGAGACCCAGATGCGAAAGACACGTCTAGAAGGCAAAGAAGCGCAAGCCCATGAACAGAGACGCGAATACCTAAAAGGAAAAGTGAGAGAAGGGAAAAAGGAGTACCTTATTTTTGAAGGATCAGGCTTGAGGAGGGGCTTTGCTTTTGCAGTGAAAAAGGAGAGGATGTACTGTAGAAAGAGCGCTGCTCATAGCTTGTTAATTGCTTGTTGCTGCTGCTGCTGCTTGTCGAGAGAGAAAGAGAGGGCGCAAAAGGGAGCCTGAGAGAGTAATGAAACGGACTGGACCTCCGCTTATGGTGGACTATTAGGCGCATAGAGAGAGAGAGAGAGGTCAAAGACGCAAAGTTAAAGAAAGCTTCTTTGTTTTGTTTTTGGTTTTTGGTTTTTTTTTTTAGGATTCAATAATTTCATTGGTTTTTTGTCCCAAAACTAAAGGGGTCCGAATCACCAAACTGCTCTGAGGACTCACAGGAGTCAGGTCTTTCGCACCTGTCTGTCATGCCTATGCGGCCAGCTTCCCTCCTCTCTCTCTCTCTCTCTCTCTCTCTCTCTCTCTGTTTCTTTTTCCCTCGTCTCATATAATCATTTAGTATTGCCAACTCAACTGGTTGAACTTGAAAGCCCCCATCAGTGGGGTGTTTTGTTTTTCTGTTTTCTATTTGTACTTTTGGATTTTTAAAAAAACACTGCATCTTACTTTGTTTGAGCCATGTTTATTTTTTGTTAGTTTAAGGCTACTTTAAGCCTTATTTACTGAGTTATAAATATTGAACCAGTGAGATCCCATTTGCAAGATGAAGAGACCAAACACCTCGTCTCTAGGTCGCTCTGGTTTGGTACCTGCTATCCTTTATAATCACAAGTTCACAACACAACAAATGGGACAATGGTTGGTCAGATATGGGAATATGCCAATATGCATGACTAAATCATCTAATCTCCCTTAACCCAAAAAAAAAAAAAAACAAAAATCATCTAATCTAAGACATATGATATGTCCATTAATTCCTTTTGATTAACAGATTGGAATCCAATGCATTATGCATTGAAGGATTGAAGGGCTTCAGGTCTGGTGAGGTTTGGTCATTTAAGGTTGTCAACTTGGAGTTGGACCTTTTTTCCTCAAAGCCATGTTAGCTCTGGTAATTACCTTCATGAATACGTATGTCGTTGCAAAGCAAAGCAAGCCAACAAACAAGGGCCCAAATTTATGATGGGACAAGGCATCGCAGTTGGATCACTCAAACTCAACTCAAACCCCGTACGTATGTATGTATACAGTATTCCATATGGATGTTGTTGACCAAACACAAACTCCTTATAATAATAGCTAGGAAGTTAAGTATGCATTGCAATTTGCAAGTCATGAAAATGGTAGAGAGAGAGAGAGAGGGAGAGAGAGGAGGCCCCTTTAATTACACTTGTATCCCTTTTCCTTGCTAGTTGCTAGTTGCTAGTTGCTGTTGCTAACAGAACAACAGATGATTTTCACAACTGTATTTGGTCCCAACTCTCTATTTGGCCACACAAAAATTCTTATCAAGTAAAGTAGTTTAAACAAAAGGGGCCAGTTAGTTGGAGGCTATACATATCAAAACTAAAATAATGCATGAATTTCAAGTTTGAGAGAATTTAACACCATCTCCATCGCCATCTCCATCTCCATCTTTCCAAAAGGGATATGATTTAAGTCTCTCCCTCCCTCCCTCTGTCAAATACACACACACATATATATATATTAATTTGATGAGATATATTCATGTGTCATGGTCATGGTGGTTGTCACAAACATGTACTGTGCAAGCTTAATTATGTGGTCATTCATCATTGCTACAAAAACTAGTGAGTTATAATATTAGGCAGGCTGGCTAGAGATAAAATTAATATCCATATATAATGCAGCACCAACTGCAATTCCATCCACAATTAATCATTTATACCACAAAATCCATCACCCTATAATTAATATTAACCAGCCGAGCAGTTGCATCGATCCACCTGCAGCAATCAACACATGCAATGCAACCTTTTCTCTCTCTCTCTCTCTTTTTATTTATTTTATTTTGGTAAATAAAATAACTTATAAGTTCAAAGTTATATTAACTTTCGCCAAACAATATATCAGTATGTAATCCGTCACCCAAGTTATATCAACTTGGCAAGGCGCCGCCTGGGAATAGCATTCACTCAGGATGTTATTCGCACATCATTAATCAATTAATTCATTAATACACTGGAAGGAAAACAATGTCCAATCCAAACACAAGGGAGGGGTCAGATCAAGTAAGCTACGGCCGCAGCAAGTCAAGCATGTCGGAAACCTTGCTTGTATAGTACTCTGGTTGAGTCTTATTTGAAGGGTCCTGAAGAACGGATTCAGTCGTCACACCTGTTGTAATAATTTGTAATGATCGGTACGAGCATAATTAGAGAATATAAAGGAAGCCAATCAATTACTGCCACAGTGTTAATACCAAAAAATTGCTTCACCGGTGCGATATATAATATGACTAGGAACTTGCACATACCTGAAAGAACGAGGAGAGTTCTGCAGCCAGCATTCTGGCCAAACAATATATCAGTATCTAATCTATCACCCACCATACACATTTTGGAGCAACTAATATCGAATCTGCAAAACAAACATTACAATCAGTCAGATACGTACCCTCTGAATCTGATTCTCTGAACTGCACAAAGCCACAACAAATGCGAGTATCTGACATTCAAGGTCTAGACCCTTTAATCTTCTTTTGGCTTTTGCATTGTATGGATCTAAATCACTTGAAATTTCATATAATTATTTATTCTTTAGGATTTTTTTTTTTTTTAATATACAAAAAGTATACATGAAGGTAAACAGTGTTATGATATTATTCCTTACTTCTTTAGTAAAAATTCCATCAGGAAATTAGAGGGCTTTCCAACTACAATAGGCTCCTTCTGGGTGGATCCACAGATAGCAGCTACCATACACCCAGCACCTGAAACCCAAAAGGGGAACTACTATAAAGCAAAGCTTTAAAGCTTATATTTCATGTTATCTTGAAATTTCTCGAGAATGGGATGGAAATAAGAAAGAACCGGGCCATTCTTGTAAATCAGTCATGTGTCCAACTGCATCCCGATTGGTTGCAATGAAAAGGCATCCCGGATTTTCACGTATGCAAAGGGTTCCATATCTGCCATGTGAAGGGTAAGATATCTAAAGTCAAGTAGTGAACACAAAATAAGTCTTGCATTTGCTTTTCACCTAGCAACCAAATAGTAAAGATGCTGAACGTCAACCATTTTCTAATCTAAATTTTTACTTTCTAACAAATGTGTTGTTACTCGTCATCTTTGCAGTTCATTTGCACAAAACTGAATATAATAGCAAGATTATATTTAAAATTTTCAAGATATATATTATCATAACTGCAAGGGGTCATTGACTGGAAATTGCAGAGAAGGGAGCAGGAGTTTTAACATTCTTACTGAAGCTTGTAATAGTTAATATACTGGTCTAGTCCAACCACAACTGCTCCAACCTGGGAACAGGAATCGCAACATATTTAGCCCATGCAGAAATAAGAGTCACAACACAAGTCAAAACAATTATGGGCAAGAGGTTACATTACACTCTTATCATGTTCAAAAAGGCAATTTGATTTCAGTTGTGCCGTTTTTTTACCATCTTCCTGCAATGTAACGTTTCATCAGTGTCTTCTAAGGTAAGATTTCCATGAGAGAAGGTAAATCAATTTCTCAATGTTGTGTCTTACCATATGAATATGAGAGCATCATTTAGAAATGTTACAAGTTTAATGCCAACTTGAATCATGAACCATAGTTAAGGTTCAACACTGAAAGAAATCTGAAGCTTATATACCGAAACAAAATGAACATGGTTCGACAAATATCTTTTGTTGTAGACAAAAATATTGGGGGTCCAAATGCACCATAGGTGTCAAAATGCTCTATGATATAATTAGTCCAATTTGCCCTTCTAATCCAAAAGAATAATTGAAGAAAACAAAAGCAAAAAGAAAGAAAAGGAGATGAGCTTACAGGGCCACCAAGAGCTGTAAAACCAGCAAGCTGCAGCTCTTCTAAAATACCTTGTTCCCCTATTACATAAACCTACAAAGAAAGCAAGCAATGTAACACAGAAAGACAGTCAAAGACAAAGAAGAAGAAGCAGCAGCAAACCTTCTTGTGTTGGGGGAAGTTAATGAGTTGCAAGTACATAGCTGCGGCAAAGGATGAAGAGAATATCTCATCCTACAATCAATCAATCAATTTTGAAGAGTGAGAGAGTCTGAGGCTGAGAGAGAGAGAGAGAGAGAGAATGCGAGAAAGAAACAAAAAGGAGAAAAATGACCTCAGTAACCGAAATGCCGAGAGAAAGGAACTTGTTGGCGTATTGGCTTCTTGATTTTGTGGAATTGTTGGTAACGAACACCAGCTTCTTCCCCTAATTTATCAGCCAATTATTAATTTACTTAGTATGATTAAGAATTGGTTGTAAATTATTAATCAATCAGAATGCGGAAATGGAAGAAAGAGAGAGTGCCTTTGATCGAAGCGTGTGCAGTGTCTCAGGGACACCATCGATCAGCTTATCGCCCTTCCAAATCACACCTGCTCATTCATTGCTAATATCATAATATCAAATGCTCGAATAAAAATTTTAACAAAATTAAATAATGCTTTAATAGAATAGAAGAAAGAAAAGTAGAAAAAGACCGTCGCAGTCGAAGAGAAAAGCTTGGACAGAATCGAGGAGCTGGTTCACGTTCTGGGCAGACAGCAGCTGGGCTGGGGAGGAGTTCATCGTCAAAGGTTCAAATACTCTCACCAAATGCCAAGGCTTCTTACTTCACTTGTTAGTTAGGGTTCAAACATCAAACAACGGCTCTCACCAAATGCTTCACGCAGATTCTCTCTCTCTCTCTCTCTCTCTCTCAGATACAGTGACACTGACTGACGCCTCCAAAAACAGAGAGGGTTTTTCACTTTTACATTTACTGGCCTCCCTCCCGAGTCCCGAGTCCCGAGTCCCTTCCCCCTCCCGGGCCGCACTCGCAATGCACTTTGCACGTGGCAGGCACACTTCCATTATCCCATTCCGTGAGCGTTACGTTAGTCCATACAATACAATCCAACAAACAAACAAAAGATTATTTCTGGGCCTGGTGGCCCAAGCCTCGCATGTCTTTGTCTGTCTTTGCCATCGAAGAAGTTGTAAAGCACAGCCCATCAGCAATCAACTGAGATTTTTTAAATCGGAGTACATTTGTTGACGGCCATGGAAACAAAAAGGGTACTTGAAATTGAAAGTCAACTTCACTTTAATCGGAGTACATTTGTTGACCAATAATCCAGCCGGAGGATGTAGGAAGGAGACCTATGAACAACATATGCCGCATGAAAAGAAATATCAAATTTCATCGGTGGTGTATGGTATTATGATGTGGTGATCATCACAAAAGAAAACAGGTACATCTCCACTGAAAACAAAAATTTGCTTTGCTTTAGTCAATGTTATTTATTATTATTAAATCAAAAGTTATTTATTATTATTATTATACAGAAATGCAAAAGAAGTAGGTGAAAAGATCAGGTCAAGAAAAACAAATGCAAATATTAATAAATAATTTAATGCGTGAGAGTCAGATGAGGGTCATTGACACATTGTTGTTCTAATTCGGCGGCTATAGTTAATTGAAGTCGTCGATAGGCGCCCCCCATTAAATTTGAATGGGGTATTTTTCAATGTTGATGGCTGGCAGTGGCTTGGTTTCTGAGATATACTCCTACACCTACTTGTCTATTGCACTCGCATTACCGTATTCCCACCACCATCAACCCTCTCGGATAGCTGGTGTTCGATTTGAGAAATACTAGATGCCTTCTCATTTAGTTCGTATTACGTTAATGTAAAATACTAAGATTTTGCTTATGAAAATAATGAGTTGAAAATACACGAGGCAAACTAAACAAGAAAATGTAGTGAGCATTTAAGAAATCGATTTTAACGGCCAAGCCAAGGTAGAGTTGAGCAATATACGTACGTATCAATGAGTATGTGTATGGGGGTGGTTGCACATGCACTAGTCTGGGGGCATATTCATTTATTATTCAGTTGCGTCAACAAAACACCCCTGGGCTGGGTCGTGTAAATACTGCCTGCCTGCCTAGGTGGGTGTAATATAAGTAATCAAAGAAAGTAGAGGCAACAGCTACAGCAGCACCAAAACAAAACAAAGAAAGGAATCTCATCTCTCTCTCTCTCTCATGCGATAACGATAGATAGGCGAATCTCTCTACCTAACCTAATTCAGCAGAATGCATTTTTGCTCACCATTTTAATCATAGGTGTACCCTCATCACCATCCTCAATGCTTGACACGTGTCCATAGACATAACCATAGTTAACTTTTGCTTTGTATTTATGAAATCATGATTACACCTATGGACACATGTCAAGCATTGAGGATGGTGGTAAGAGTACACCTATAGTTAAAATAGTGAGCAAGAATGCTCCCAATTCAGCAAGTCACCAATGAATGGGGTGCTGGCTGTCGTCTTGTCGATCACTTCCAAGTTCCAAGTAATGGGAATTGGACTTTGGCCTTTATCCTATCTCATGACCTCACCCTTTCTGCTTACTACCATTATGCCCTTACTCCTCTCGTGGTTGGTAGGATAGGATCATAGACGAGTAAACCGGCAATATATTTTATTACCAATACTCATGCATGCGTCACAAGTTTACTTTTTAGTCCTAATGGTTTGCTCTTTTTTTTTTTTTTTGGTGAACTAATGGTTTGCTCTTTTTACCCTTTCTTCTTCTTCTTCTTCTGAAAATCAATTTTGTCAATTTTATTATTTTAGTTTCAATTTAGAGCAATTCAATCACACATTTCAATTTCTATCAAAATCCTCCGAATTCCATTAAGTTTTGACCACATGCCCTCACGTGGAGGGTTATTTCTTTTAATTAACTTGAGCATTTAACAGTAAAATATAAACTTGAACTCTTCCCATTCACTTTAGGCGAGATTAAGAGTTTGAAAAAAATTTGCATCTCCATGTTACAATTTGGGTGAATGGGGAGGAATTTAGCTCGAGTGGACCAAAATATCCCTCTGCGTGAGGGGCATGTGGTCAAAACTTAAGAGAATTGGGATAAATTTTGATATAAATTGAAACATGTTGCTTCTAATTGAAAACTACAATAACAAAATATAAAACCATGTGTTATATCCAATCAAAATGCAAATAAATAAATTTCAACAAATTTACGTGACCTTAAAAAAACAAAATCATGTAGCTTGTGCGTTATATGATGGATATCATATACATTTGTATTGTGGAACATGAACCTATGTAATGAGGCAAACATTTAGATTGGGTTGTTTATAAAATTGAGATATCCAAAATACTTTGTGAGGGGATGCAAGGAATTCAACTAATAGTAATAGTAATGAAGTTTGGAAGCGAGAGCAGTCCAAAAATATGCGCAGCCAATTCCTCCCAGTAATTAATTACGAAAATGTGTCATAAATTAGATAATTACATTGCTAAGGTAATCATAGTAGCAAAAATACCAAATTGGTTTGATTTTTATTTTGTCCATTTTCATTTGACCATTATATTATAAGGGCGACAAAGTGTATTATCTATCATCTATATATATAAAGCAAAAGACAGAGAATGGTGAAACATTCAAAATATCAGAAAATGCCCTTGGTTAATGCAAACATTAAAAATTGAAATTATTAATTAAATGAGGATAATATGGTAAATTCACATTTTTTATATTTAAAAAAATAAAAATTAAAAGAAAAATCATATAATGGCCTATTTTTATGGAACACAACAACCCATTATTTTTTTTAATTCTAAAATAAATTTTAATTTTTTTATTATATAAAAATAAAAATAAAAAACCTCTCGCAGGCGCGGAAGCGCATGCGAAGAGACTAGTTTTATATTATGAACTTACCATTCATTTATTTTAACTTACTTTTTTTTATTGGAAGATATACTTTATTAGAATATCATAAGATTATACAGCGGAGATAATGACTTATTTTAACTTACTTCAATTGTATTTTTTCCTCTTTTTTAATGAAACGTTCAGTGGCTAACACGCACAACTTTATAACCGATGCATCCATTAAATTCGGGAAAAAGCCCCAAAATTCTGCATGGAGCCTAGCCTAGGCATAATAATGCCATAATCCGCGAACATGGGTGCTGGGACCCAAACACCTGCACATTTCGCAAATAATTTTATTAATATTTATTTTTTCTCTTGTTTATTGTTTTTGACTATATATCGGTGGATTCTAAAATCGTAAAATGCCGCGTAAAAAAAAAAGCCCCAATATTCTGACTTGTGCAGTGAGAAATCCAAGAATGGCAACAAGTGCAATTTTGGTAGAATGCGGATCCAATTGTGCAAGAAGATCCAGTTTAAAAGCTGAAAGTCACTGGCTCATTTTTCTCCCTCTGTAGTCTGTAGTCTTATTATACATTACAAACATCAAGCGCATCTCTGTCTTTCTCTCTGAGTCTGGCATGGCGGATCTGAAGTCAAAGTTTCTCCAGGTCTACTCTGTTCTTAAATCGGAGCTCTTGGAAGACCCTGCTTTTGAATTCACCAACGACTCTCGTCAATGGGTCGAGCGGGTACCATCTTCATTTTTTACTTTTAGCTTCAATGCCATGATTGTTGTTTATTTTCAATTCGAGCTCGATAATGATGAATTGCTTCCTTTGTTCATGAAAACGAGAGAGGACCTCACTCAGAAGCAATATACAAGTACAGGGAATAGTGGGGTTGCATCAAATACATATATAAGACAGATCATATTGATTTCAATTTCGAGAAAATGCTACATAAAATAATTTCACAATCTGTGGTGGAAACTGGGTTGTCAGCATATTACATTTGTTTTGCTCACATCATTAGTATTAGCCAGCATAGGAAAAGAAAATCCCAGGGACAATATCAAATACAGAAATCGAAGCCCACTTGCATTTGGATGTGAATAATTCTGCTATCCCAGAGAATGCCTAGACATTTGAGGTTCCATACATTAGTTATACAGTCCTTTAGTCCCTTCTACTTCTTAATTGCATCTCCTAGAAACCACCTAGGAGGACTCTAGGACTTTCTCTAATCACATGTTGATGCCCTCCTACATTATGACTAGTTCCCAAAAGTAATTTTCATTTTTACATCTTTGGTTGGTTGCTAATAATTTGGTATAGTAACTTTTGGCATACAGATGGGTTCCTCTGCATTGAATGTGTGTGCTGCGTAAGCATTATTTCATTAATATATGCACCTTATCTTTGGTTCCTGACTTCCCAATTTACTTTTTTCTGTTACAGATGATGGACTACAATGTTCCTGGAGGTGAGGGTTCAAAAGTCACGTGAACTTTTTAACCAAAATTTCTTGTGCATTAAATTCAGTTTATCAGGTTAGCTCTTATTCAAGCACTTCTGACTCTTATTCTATCTCGCAGGGAAGTTGAACCGGGGATTGTCTGTTATTGATAGCTATCAGCTGTTGCAAGAAGGAAGGGAATTAACTGAAGACGAAATCTTCCTGGCCAGTGCTCTTGGTTGGTGCATTGAATGGGTATGATAAACCACTTCCATTATCATTTGAGCATGTGAATTCTTTTTTAGATATTACTGTTCTAGTTGCTTTAGCTTTTCTCTCGTTCATTGCAAAAGAAACTTACAATTTGATGGTGATACTACTTGCAGCTTCAAGCATTTTTTCTGGTTCTTGATGACATCATGGATGGCTCTCACACACGGCGTGGTCAACCTTGCTGGTTTAGATTGCCCAAGGTTTGCGGGAAGGGTGAACATATATAGGTTTCTTTGTTTAATTTGGTGTTAGTAAAGCCACTAACTTGTGAAACTGTATTGTGTAGGTTGGTATGATTGCAGTAAATGATGGAGTTGTACTCAGAAACCATATTCCAAGGATCCTCCGAAAACACTTCAGGGAAAAGCCATACTATGTGGATCTTCTTGATTTGTTCAATGAGGTAGTGGACTTGCAGAGTGTTGGCCTGATCAGTTTTCACTTTAATAGAAAGCTAAAGGCTAACTTATGTCATGTTTCCATAGGTGGAATTCCAAACTGCTTCAGGTCAGATGATAGATTTGATCACTACTATTGAAGGAGAAAAAGATCTATCCAAATACTCTTTGTCAATGTGAGTGAAATATTGTACAAAGATTATTGCAATAGCAAAATGTTTGTAGACATGTTAAGTTTTTAAAATAAGTAACCAACCCATGTGCTATTCCCATTAAGAACTTAATGCACTATGCTGCAGAAAAGAATTACAAGAGCTTGCATGAAATTCACAAATGCACGTTGAGGGTTGAAGATAATCTCATGACAAGGATTGATCCATTACCTGCTTTTGTATTGTGTATTCATAAGCCTTCACTAATGATGGCACATTTGGCCGTCTGTACAATATGCTTACGCATTCTGTGATCTATGGGTTATAAAGGTCTAAACAGCTTGGGTTCATGACCACTTATTTAATTCCTTGCAACAGGCTCTGAACTTTTGGCATGGTATGCTCGCCAGCAGAGTTAAATCTCTGCAGCTGACTGCATATTTCATTATTTTTTCTGAACACCTGTGGCCAATATTCTCACTGCTTGGGCTTAGGACCATTGGAACCTTTAGAGACCTTTTAATAGGCTATGAGCATGGCATGCATGGTAACTGGAGATAAATCTAGCAATGTGACTGTATGGTTTTCCTTTTAGTTATTTCCTAAAACGTTAATTGACTATGTTTTCTATTTCTATCATGCTATAGTATCATGCTATTCAACCTTTTATGTGTTTGTTAATGTATAAATGGTTTGGATCTCTTGCAGTCACCGGCGTATTGTTCAGTACAAGACTGCCTATTACTCGTTTTATCTTTCAGTGAGTACTTATTCTTTCAGCACTTAAAGCATTACTACTTGAATTGTTAGTGTCTTTTTCAATTCCAGTGTTTGTGAAACCATTTTTTGTGAATCAGCATCTTCGTCCGTTTAGTTCTAGTTCATAAGCGGCATTCCTTATCCTAGATTCTGTACCTAGTCTGTGAGATTTGGTGTAACATAATACATCCTTGTTCCCAGTATATAAACTTTCTTTGGTCCTAATAAGAAGTCTAATTTGAGAAGTACACAAAACATTTTGATTCCTAAAATAGTATTCATACCATAAGATATAAACATTCTATGGCGTCTTATCTTATTTTCTTGTGTTTTACGTGAAGGATTTGTCTGACTGTTTTCTACTCAGGTTGCATGTGCATTGCTTATGTCAGGTGAGGAACTGGAAAACCATATTGATGTAAAAAACCTTCTTATTGAGATGGGGATCTACTTTCAAGTACAGGTAATTTTTTGTTGAATGTACAAAATACCTGTAATTATTCTTTTGCGTGAATCATCCCCCCTCCACACAGTGGAACTCCTCAGTTATTTTCAATAACCTCTTTTTTTCTTCTTCTTCTTCTAATAGGATGATTATTTGGATTGCTATGGCAATCCTGAAACAATTGGTAAGGTGAGATTCGGGGAGATGTATATTCAGCCTTAAATAGTTGAATATTTCTTCTATTGCTTGTTTGATGGGAATTCTTAGTCAAGTACTTTCTTTGTGCTATCAGATAGGAACAGACATTGAAGATTTCAAGTGCTCTTGGTTGGTTGTGAAAGCATTGGAACTTAGCAATGAGGAACAAAAGAAAATACTATATGTAAGAGTGCCTTTTTAAAAAATTTAAAAAATTATTGTCTGTTGTTTCCTAATCAAAATGAAGTGTTGTCACTTATGATCCGTGTGTGTTTGCACAGGAGAACTATGGGAAAGCAGACCCAGCAAATGTGGCAACAGTAAAAGCCCTCTACAAAGAACTTGATATTGAGGTTGGAAGTCAATCGTATGAAATTAGTCCTAGAGTAATATATGTAGCATAGAGTATAAGATTTCTGGTATTGGTAGGTGCTGACAAGGTGTGCTTTTAACCCAACTAACTTTGTGATTCTGATAGGGTGTATTTGCGGATTATGAGAGCAAAAGCTATGAGAAGCTGACGAGTGGTATTGAAGGTCACCCTAGCAAAGCGGTGCAAGCAGTGTTGAAGTCCTTCTTGGGCAAGATATACAAGAGGCAGAAATAGGAATATGTGGCTTTGGGAAGGACAGAGCTAGGTTGGAAGATGTGAATTTTCCGGGTTGTCGTTGCTGATTTCTGCTTCAATTTTTCTGGAAAAAAAAAATGAGAAAGAAAGAAATTCCAATTGTGTTGTATTTGTGTCTGTATCCTAGTTTAATAAACAATGGCAGTTGCCTAAGGTTTTGCTTGCTTAGTTCAGTGTTGAATAAACATCATTAATCAATCAAAGTTCATAACATTCTAATTCAGACTGATGCAATGAGCTCTCTCTCTCTCTCTCTCTCTCTCTCTCTCTCTCTCTCTCTCTCTCTCTCTCTCTCTCTCTCTCTCTCTCTCTCTCTCTCTCTCTCTCTCTCTCTCTCTCTCTCTCTCTCTCTCTCTCTCTCTCTCTCTCTCTCTCTCTCTCTCTCTCTCTCTCTCTCTCTCTCTCTCTCTCTCTCTCTCTCTCTCTCTCTCTCTCTCTCTCTCTCTCTCTCTCTCTCTCTCTCTCTCTCTCTCTCTCTCTCTCTCTCTCTCTCTCTCTCTCTCTCTCTCTCTCTCTCTCTCTCTCTCTCTCTCTCTCTCTCTCTCTCTCTCTCTCTCTCTCTCTCTCTCTCTCTCTCTCTCTCTCTCTCTCTCTCTCTCTCTCTCTCTCTCTCTCTCTCTCTCTCTCTCTCTCTCTCTCTCTCTCTCTCTCTCTCTCTCTCTCTCTCTCTCTCTCTCTCTCTCTCTCTCTCTCTCTCTCTCTCTCTCTCTCTCTCTCTCTCTCTCTCTCTCTCTCTCTCTCTCTCTCTCTCTCTCTCTCTCTCTCTCTATATATATATATATATATGTATGTATATACACATTATATAATCGCAGAAGTAAAGTTATGAGACATGTAGTGATTGTCAAACCTGAAGCTGATTACCAGCTGAGATTGATCCTCGATCCAACATAAGATGCGAAACCAATTGTAATATAATGCTGATGATGGTATGTATACATAGAAATGGAATGCTGACGATGGTGTGGTTGTTTTCCAAGTCGTTTGCAAATTGCAGCAAAAAAAAGAAGATAAGTATTATGCAATATTGAGCGACTGAATGAATATTTAAATGAATGGGAGTGGCAGGCAGGCAGGCAGTTTTGACGATGTCATTTAAAAAGTTGAACTTGGCTTGGCCTGTGCTGTGCTGTGCTGCTGTTGACAATCCAAAAACTCATCCAAATGCGTAGTTGACTTTACTGAATCAGAAGAAGAGTGTAAAGTAAACAATGAGCCTGAGAGAGAGAGAGAGAGAGAGAGAGAGAGAGAGAGAGAGAGAGAGAGCCAAGTGAGATTGAGATTGGAAATATATACTCGTTAATTAGTTACTAATAATAATAGAGTGAATGGTGGGGCTGGAGGGGTAAGAGGGTAACCTAACCTCAGGCTCAGTCTGTCTGAATCTTTGCCTTCAACGGGAGAGGGCGGGCAAAGAGTTTTTTTGGGATTAATTTGAGTAAACTAGAAGAAGCAAGCAGGTCCTGCCCCAACTCCCGAGTCCCGACTCACTCCGGACTCTCGAGTCCAGTCCAGTTGGCCTTAACCTTAGGCCTACATCATACATTGACTTGACATTAAAATAGCACTAAAGTTTCATTTCCAATCGTATTAATATACATAAATAAACCAGCTGGTGGGGTTGAGCAATTGACGCGGGTTAACCGTGAATGAATGGATCCCTTCAAAGGAGCTGTGGCTGTCGACTAAAGTACCTTGCCTATTCTTTTATTTATGGGTAAATTGCCGCATGCCCCTTGAACTATTTCAACTGTCAAAATTACCATCATGAATTAATTTATCAACCAACTTAACCTTTGTATTAAATTTATTCTCCAATTTCGCCCCTGCAATTAGCTTTTTCATAATTCCATCCAAATACCCGTCAAATATAAGGGTAAATTTGACATTTTACAAGATATAATATTAAGAAAAATAAGGAAAATGTAAAGAAAACCTTCTACCAATTTCTTCTCCCCCATTTCCCAACCACCACCTACAGACCACTACCCCCTCCTCCCACCCCTCACCTGCAGAAACCGGAACCCCCTTCCCCCCTTCCCCTCCCCCCTGATTTCTTCTCCCACATTCCCCCCAACCTGCAACCCCCCCACCCCTCCACCCCGCAAAACCCATAATCAGCCCCCCTACCCCCATTGATTTCTTCTCCCCCCATTTCCCAACCACCACCCACAAACCCATCCCCCCTCCTATCCCCC